TACTTCTGCTGCTGTATCCCTTGGAAAATCAGCACTGAAAAATTAGTACCGGAGGCTGGACTGTGTCCTCAGGAGCATGTGTGCTCAGGCAGCAGGTCACTGGAGAACCAGTAGCCTGAGAGCTTTATTTCTGAATATAAATATAACAGAAAATGGTCTGAAGTACAATATTTAAAAAAAAAAAAAAAAAAGAACAGTTTCTTCTCTGTGTTCAGCAGCTACTGTACATTTCACATACATTAACCCAGGGTATTCAAATTACCCAGTGCCTCTAATTGCATGTAACTCAAAGACAGACTCTAAATTCACTTTGATCATCATAAACCCATCAGCACACTTACTAGACATTTAACTTCTGTATGCCAATAAAAATGTTGTTTAAACCATTAACTGCCTGTTTAAAGCAGTAATTAATCCCCAAGATCAACACCTTTGAAATTATTGCCACAGGGCATAGATAAATATTAACCTTCGCTCTTGGGGAGTGTTGGGCTTTTGACCTGGGAAGGGATCACTCCTGGTAGTTTAGGGCTTTATCCCCTGATCTGCCACTGAGCTGTTGTACAGTTCGTAGGGGAAAAAAATGTAAAAATCACAATTTTGTTTTTAGCATCTTTGATGTAACTGCCTAACTCAGAATGTAGAGATAAAGTATTTTCTAACTGCAACTTTCTCTGCATGTATCCTATGAAATAATCAAACCCCATCCTTTGAATCAGGTAAGGATAATCTTGGTGTAATGTTGAAGATTGGGTGGGACAAGGCTTGTGAAAATTTTCATTCTTCCTTCTAAAAGGACCAGTGTCCCTGTTCTGTTTGGAGACTGTGCTCAGCAGATGCCCACTGAACAGTTATCAGCCATGCATGCCCAGGCAGGTCCCAGAGCAAGAGCCAGGTTTGTGGCACTGAGTGTAACTGCTGGAACAGGAGAGCAGGAGACAGAGAAGAAATATAGAAAGTAGGAGAGTAGGTAGGCCTGTATACAAGTATTACTGTTAGTAAAGTACTTTACATCTCTTGTATAAACAGTAAAAAAACCCTAGGTGTTTATTTAATGTCATTTATTCAGCCAGTGATTTGCAGTAATTTTTAAAACACTGTTATTTTACTTTATAAAAAGTACCATCTGGACAATAATATTTTTTATATAGAAAAGCATTATTTTAAAACGAGTGGCAAAACAATCACAAGTTAAACTATCAAAATTCTAAGTACAGCTTTCAAGAATGTAAAACACATCCAAGCAAGCCAAGCTCTGTGGAATTTTGTTGCACAATATAATCTTGCTCCTTAGGTTCTGAAGTGTATAAAAGAAATGTCCTGTACGCAGCTTTTTCATGTCCCCTATTTTCATGCACATCCAAGTCTGAAGTGCTGTGAACTCCAGTTCCCTTCATTCCCTACCCCACATGACACTATACAAGTGACTGGGACCACCCCACTTGGCTGGGGGTTTGTGCAGTGACACAAGTCCTCTCAACTATATGTGCATGTTAGAATTGGGAACCGAAAAAACCGGCAGTAACATAACAAGACCAAACACAGTCAGGACTCTTTGATAGATGACCCTTAAGGGATGAAGTGCAACGTGCAGTGACATCTGATGTGGCTCTGCTTACTCCACCCTTAGTTAATCTGCTTCTGCAAGTTTTCTATTGCTCATCTGGTATTTTTAAATAAATGCTTTGATAAATATAGAACTATCACTCTAATTATTGCCATAGGCAATAAGCAAGTATAAACTCACCCTTCCTAAAATACAAATTAAGGTAGTTGGATGTGCAAAGCAAGGCTGTGCATCTTAAGACGCTCTCTGTTGTAGAAAACAGGAAGGGTGTCAGGCTTTGTCTAGTACAGTAGAAGCAGGCAGAGAGGTCTACAGGGACTGAACAATGCTGGGGAAGTCGTAATGTCATTAGTATATTGCCCACAAACTGTTTTTCATGTTTTTTGAAATAAATTATATATACTATTTATTGTTTTGTTGGGGCCTGTCAATGTGCCAGGTATAAGCATGAGGACGTAACATGTGCCACTTGTGCTGTTCATGAAAGGAAAAAAATCATATCATTGTTCCATGATTTCACTAGGACTAGGTCAAAACAAGAAGACGAACCAAAACTTCTGTAGCAGGCACTATCAAAAATATATGTTTTGAAAGTTGCTTTGTGCCATGCTGTTTACATACTACCCATGACAGGTGAGAATTTTTTCTTTTGCAAAAGCATAGGAAAACTCCTGAACACTTACGGGACCATAACCAAATGTAACACAGAGCAGAAGTGATACTAAGTGCTCTAAAGCGAGGCAATCACTGTATTAATAAAATATGAAGGAAGCAGAACATCAACATAGTTACTATTTTCCATTAAAATGTTACTGTAGATTACCCCATTCTCTCTGTTTCTGCAATACCCTGAACGTTTAAACTTCTTTTCATCAGCCTTTCACAATCTTTTTGCTGTATCATTCACCCTTCACTCCACCAGAATTAGGTCCTACGAAGTATTTGACTCCTAAAAGTGCAGGACCTCAGAAGACAGGTGGAACCTAAAACATGAAGAAGCACAAAAATATTCTCTTAAAACAAACAAACAAACAATTCTTCCCGCCGGGTCCGTCGTTTCCCAGCCCGGCTCGGGCCGGACGCTCCCGAACGGCCCCGCCCGGGCAGCGCGCGGGGCGCGAGCGCCCCCTGCCGGACAGCGCCCGCCGCTCCCAAGGGCGGAAAGGAAAAGGTAAAAGGTTCCCGTCCGTGCGAGCGGGGAGCGAGGACCCGGGCATGTTAGAGGCCAGCGAGTGGGAAATTTACATCACTGATGTGGCAAAACCCCGAAGTTTTAAAACAAATTTTTTTAGTCGACGGTGTTTTGAGATGCTTCCATAGAATCCACAGTTTTTGTAGTCCGGCTAACTGCGGCCGCCGGCTGTAAATGCAGCTGCAACAGCAAAAGAGTAGAACGTGGGGCGCAGGGCAGCCTGGGCACGGGGCAAGAAGGTAGAGGTCCTGTCCTGTGCTTACCCCTCCCTTAGTAAATGCCATGAATATATTCCTAGGGTCCATGAGGCCAATTCCTGAATAGCTACTACTAGTAGATCACCAGTAAAAATATATGCTTATATTGACCCACAGAGCACATAAGAAATTAATCCTTTTTTTTTCCTGAATATTTTTCCAAATTTACTGTCATTTTCTAACCAAAGTTAAAAAACAAATAGAGATTTATATTCAGGTTGCCAATGAAACTTACATGTTGGCTTCCAGCTTATTGACATTTTCTATATGTAACTGCCAACTAAGAAATACCATTGATTGTGCTGATTACACTGGAACAAGATGCCCAGAGAAGCCATGGATGCCCCAAAGCTGAAACTATTTAAGACCAGGCTGGATGGGTCTTTGAGCAACCTGGTGGAAGGTGTCATTGCATGGGGAAGGGGGGTTGGAACTAGAAGACCTTTAAGGTCCTTTCCTCTCAACCCATTCTATGATTTGTGAAATTCTGTAAAAGTAATGTTTCCAACTTCAATTATTTTCATACTACTGCATATTTCATTGTCAAAAGTATTTGAGCTACTGTTCCTGCCACAATGTTCAAAGCAGAAAATATTCTAAAATATCAACATAATCATTATACCAGAATTTGATTTCACCATTACAGGTTGTCTTAACAGACATATTCTTCATAAATGAAAATAAAATTAAGCCTTTCAGTCCAGGCAATATCATATTTCTGGCATTAGCAAAGGCTTTTTTGTTAAAAAATGTCCTGTACAAATGATGAATCAGCCTCACAGTAGGGGGGAAATCTTGAAGTCATTAATGTTAATGAAAAATTTGCCATAGAACTACGTTTTTACCTAAAAATATTTATGCTACTTTTTCAGTAACTCACTGGCTGCACAGTCTTAGAACATTCTCTGCTGCAGCCTTGGTAAAAGGATCCAGGCTTGAACCCAAGCCTCAGTCCCTTATCAGAATAACTCTACTTCTTGTTTCAGTCAGCTGTAAACAATTGATACCATCACTGAAAAGTGCAAGAAATCTGTTATAAATAATATTATCTGTCCGTGGAGAAATGTCATTCTCCCCTTTACACAAAAGGCTGACCTATATGTAATCTTAAACTTTATGTAGCAACATTAACATTTTAGTGTGCTCAAAACTCAGAGCCCACATTACTGTGTGTGGTGTGTGACAAACACAAGCAGTCATCTTCTTCCTAAAGAGAGAAGGAAAGATCTCAAGCTCCAGTTCTGCAACACCATACGCCTACACAAGTCACAAATAAAGAGACACGGGGTGCAGGATGTTTGCGAACAAGAGCAACTGGCCTAAACAGACTGATTCCTTCAGACTGGCTGAAAGTGGTTGAGCAACAGCAGAGAACTTTTAACATCCTTACAATTTTAGAATGGCAGCATTCATGCACATTTGTACAGGATTCTGCTGTGACTTCTTTATTCTTGTAACTTGCATAAAGATCCGAAAATCCTTTAGCTGTAATGGTTTATATTTCATACCAGGTGCAAAATGAAACAAAAATACTCACTGAGAGCAAAAGTAGAAACAGGGTGAATTATATTTAGATAGTTGTGACCTGGTAGCTTTAATACTAACTGAAATGCTAGAGTAAGCAATGGAGCTAGTGCCAATGTAAATTTGCACCACCAAAAACTTTACAAACACAAGTAGAGCAAGAAAGAGTGTGACTGAAGGGTATGATTATGAACCAGCCTATGCCAGTATGATTTTCTATACAAAGCATTCCAAGTTCCAAAATAGCTGTTTCTTAATAGTGTAGGGAAACAGGATCTATGACCCATGAAAGGTCCACTTGCATAATATGTGATTTCAAATTTTTCATACTAATTTAGAAAAGCAAGTAAAAAACAATTTGCTTGTGTGAAGGACTCATAAAGAAGCATGAAGTTCTACTTCTACAGTGTAGGCTACAGTACTTCTGACACTTAGTTCTGTGCATTTCTCATAGAATAGGCTGAGTTGGAAGGGACCCATCAGGATCATCGAGTCCAACTTCTGACCCTGCATAGGTCACCCCAAGAATCACACCAGGTGCGTGAGAGTATCGTCCAAACAATTCTTGAACTCAGACATGCTTAGTGCTGTGACCCTGAGGAGCCTATTTCCATCCTTTAGGTGAAAAATATTTTCCTGATATCCAGCGTAAACCTCCCCTGACTCAGCCTCATGGCATTTCCTCAAGTCCTGTCACTGGCCACCAGGGTGAAGAGATCGGTACCTGCCCCTCTGCTTCCCCTCTTGAGGATATTGAAGATCGCAATGAGGTCTCCCTTCAGTCTCCTCTTCTCCAGACTGAACAGACCAAGTGACCTCACTCACCCCTCCTTTGGATGCTCACTCATGGCCCTCCTTTGGATGCTCTCCAACAGCTTAATGCCTTTTTTATATTGTGGTTCCCAAAACTGCACACAGTACTCAAGGTGAAGCTGCACCAGTGCATTTACTCAACTTTAGTGATACAATCAGCATATAGAGAGTCTAAAAAGCAGAAATAGAAGATAATTATAATTTAAATTTCTGTTTACATCTTGCAGCCTAAAACAGTACAGTCCTCCATATGTGAGAAACATGAACAAATCTACTTTTCAGAAGTTCAAGTAATAACGGAAGCTATTTAAAAACCAACCAAACAAAAAACATAAATCTGAAATGCAGAGAGAAAAAGTGCAAAGGAGACAAGGAATTATTTATTAAATATTTGTTCAATTCCACCTAATTTTTATAAGGTCTCCTGAATCCTCAATCTCACCATGTTTGCATTGTGTCAAATAGCTCTATTATACATAGAAGCAAGAACTGATTCCATCATGGTGGTTTTGTGTGCAGGACACAGCCAAAAGAAATTATGGGGAGCTTTTAAAAATCTTTCTTCTCATGAACTATAAGCCTTGAAAATCACCAATATCTATATTTACTACTTAGATTTCACATTCAATCTACCGACTTATATATTTGTGATGGCCAGACTACATTAAATATGGGCAACATGTTTGACATACTAAGATACTTAAAAAATTGAATCTCTAATGGTGCTATATGAAGAATATTCATAGGAAAATGGAATTATGAGTACCTAACCTCCATAAAATTGGGGGAGTTTTTGGGTTTGGGGTTTCTTTTTTTTAAATTAAAGATGTCCAGTGTTTGAAGATTTAAATTGTGAATTTCTGGTTTTCATGTACTTTTCTAACAGTTATAATGTTTACATGCAGCACTCTGACAGAAGACCACAGACATATAGATTATTATGAGATAGCTCTATTAACTTATAGAGTACTCCTGAGAAACTATTGAACAAAAAAAATTTAGTGATAGTTTTGCTTTAACTGCCACATTTATGTTTAAATCAGGGACATTTTGTATAATGAATGATTGAATTACTTAGGAAAAAGCTTTGATTATTTGCATGTGACTATAGTTACTTTGGTTTTTTGTTTCTCTGTTACGAAGGTAGAAGGGATCACCTCAATCAGCACAGAAATTTCTTTATTTGAAAGGAAGGGAAGAAAGTACCATATGTATTTTTTAAAATATCCAAAACCAAACATCAAAACTGTCTTCTCTAATACATGCTTTCAAACAGATTTGGTCTGAGAAGTGACTAATAAACAATCTGGTTATATATATCTCTCTATATGTAAATGTCTGTCTGTCATTTATGCACATAAATATATATAAAAATATACACATACTTATACAAACGTATATAAATAAAATAGGATAAGACATATAATAGTATTTTATACATATAGTTAAACACCTATGTATAATGAAGGTATAGATATAAGTGCTTTGGCTTTGCATCTCTGAGAAGGCATAGCTTGTTGCTTGTGGTTTATGTGATTTGCAACTCTTTATAGAACACCTCACTCAGGAGACAGGGGACACCTTTCACACGCATTTAAAAAGCAGTCTTAAGTGAAGATTCAAATCTCAAATGGTCCTTCAGAACCCTTTGTCCCCCATCCCCGCCTCCTGCTCTCCTCAGTTGACCCAATAATACATATAGATGGTACATCCTAAATGAGATAGCACCCAGTTTTTAGGCATTTAGATTCCTTCATTTTGGAACCACCAGCAAACAGCGTTTTCCCTTTGTGTAGTTCTATTGGAATCCAACAGTCCAGGTTTCTCTTGTTTTCTGTCTTTATTGAGGCTTTTGGTAAAAGAGGGACACTCCTGCTGTTGGAATTGCAGATCTAGTGTTTAATACCCTGAGGACAGATGCATTTTATTCACATAAAGAAAAATTTATTTTAGTATTTTAATTTGTTCAAATTTTTATACATATAATGTATATATAGTCAATGAAGATATATCTCACTTTCCATTGCTAACAAAAGCAGTAGCAATAACGTCTTACTACATAATTTCGAAGACCTATAGCATTATCTTAAATAATTGCATTAAAATTTCAACTTTTTCTACTCTATTAACAACACTTTATTTTAGTGAACAGCACGGTGTATAATAAACAGAATTTCCAATAAAGTTATATTATCATGCACATGCATTCCATTTTTTAAATAACACAATAAGTTCTAAATGCTTACTAGATTATTTTATATCAAAATACATGCAGAAATTGACATGTGAATTATTTTTAAGGAGTGATATGTAGCAGTTGAAAGTATTCCTTAAAGATATATTTCTGTAAAAGCTTTGAGTGATTGAACTGTTCGAGAGAATTACAGTCTGCCCACAAATACTTTGGAGTTAAAGGAAGGCTGTTATTGTTAGCTAAGATATCTGCTGCAAATTGGTTAAGCATTTAGTGATTAAAAGCTCTTTGAGGTCTGTATATAAGTGCTCAGTATGAGTATTGCTCCTCTGAGTTACACAGCCTTGGTATATTTGTGATAACCCTTTACCACAGAGATTTTCACTTTACTAAACCGGGAGACAAATCAATTGAAAACTTTCAAGGCCTGACATATAGTTTAGAAATGCACCAGACCTCTGCCTAATATCTCACTGAAAACATTTTCTTGTGACACATTATTATGATCTTGTGGTCATTCTACAATAATAGCAGGGATGAGGATCCCTATACCTTTTCTGCCAGGGCCTCAAGAGAGTAAATAATCAGAAGGCTTTTTCTTCACTTATAATTGTTCCTTATTAGAAGAAAACAATAAAGTCTTTAATAAACCCAGTAGAAATATTTAGAATAGATAACATATATATTTTCAGAAACATAGATAACATATATATTTTCAGAAACAAACTTTGCTATTACTGTGCCGCTAATAGCAGACATAAACCATAGCAGGAACTTCAGCAGGACATAATAGCTATATGCAGTTTCTCTTGCCACACCATTGAGTGGCCATACTTTGCTTAAAGGCTTTTGGTCTTGAAACAAAGATAGATTATGACAAGTTTGAAGTAATTTTAAGTTTATTTTTTAACTTGGTCATAGAAATTCAGTTTCAATTTCTGTCCTTCTCAAATCAGGTGTTGCTTCAGTACTCCAGAGAGGAGTATTTGGGAAGCTGTACTGAATAGAAAAATTTGTCTATGCAGCAGTTTCAGACAGGAATGCTTTTTTAAGGACCAGAAGTACTGTATCAGCATGAATAAAGAGAAGACTTCTCACCTGCTGGATGCCACAAGCAACTTAAAATCCAGTGTAGATTTACCAGGAAGACAAGCCTTGCACTATTCAATTGCTGGTAAACTAGGAAAGGTAATCACAAACAGTATCTGCTGTTTATATATTTACTTGTGTTAGATTATATGACAACAAAGACAGAAAAACCCTACAGTGTGATAATTGTCAAAGTGCACATTACCCCTCTTTATATGCATGCTTGTACGTTCTCATTCCCTACACACTCTAAGAAGGCAGTTCACATTCAGAGATAAACCATCTTGAATCAGTTCTCACATGTGCATAGCAGCAGACATTCAGGAAGTGCTATTCCCCCTCACACACACACACACACAAATCCTATGCTCTTCATTTAGCCTCAAGCCCAGGTAAAGAACCATCCTACATGAGAGAACAGCACAGTTCTCCATCCCTGCAACGTTCCCCAGCCACTGAGGATATTCTAAGATGGACCCAGAGCAGAAGAGCGAGAGAATCAGCAAAGCAACACCATAGCATGACCTCTCTCTAATCCTATAATGGATACTTTTTCCTCTGGTCCAATTACAAATTGAATCCTTTCCAGTCGGTTGTTCCCCTATGAATTCAGTTCACAAACTCCCTTAGCGGGGATAAGTTCTCTATCATAAAGCTGAAGTTTACCAGCTTACCCTCTGCTGCCTGTGGCTCTCCTTTCAGTGCTAATATTACAGTTTTTGGCATAATACTATCTTACACAACTATGTCCAACTTTTAAATTTAGCTTTCCTTGTGATTTCAGACTGACAGCCCATTCATCCTACCCTTTAAAATTTGCTTTTTTTCCATAGTAAAAGTTATGTGGAGTGCAACATCTTCAGAATTTTTGTAATGCAATTTTACGGCTATCTTCCTGTGCCGACAGCAGCCGAAAACCATCAAGTGGATGAGAACAAAGCATTTGTTAGGGAAAACCCTTTTTGCCTGCAATACAAAGCAGTGTTTTCTCCTCTCACCATCTGCATTCGTACAATTTTTGGGACCCTTCATTTGGATGAATCTTTAGCTGATCTTGAGTTGAAGACCTCATTTTTCTTAGATAATTTATTGCAGCATCAGTTATTTTTCGGTAAGTACTCAAAAGCACAGAAACTAACAAATACCTGCTTGAATCAATGTCAGAATTTTGACTGATCACCATAACACAGAGATTTGGAGTATAAAATATAATACCTTGTTCCAATTGTCTCATATCAACCAGTCTTGGATATTTTCTTCTTCTGCCCTTCTAGGCTCCTCTTCAATTCAGTTCTTTGCTGGTCAGTGCCATGCATCTTCCTTCAGTCTTTCAGAAGAACCTTAAGAAAACAGAAAAATCACTGCAGTCTTACTTCAGATTATTCCAGAAATCCTGCTTTTTTTTTTTCACCAGTGTTCATGTGTTCTATCACAAAAAGTGCCAACCTTCTAGGGCTGCTTTTCTGAAGACCTGAACCAATGCCAACTATAAA